GCCTGCCCCTCCTGCCCGCCGCCCTCCCCTCAGGGCCTGTCCTCGGCCCAGCGCTCTGGGGCTATGTGAAGGCCAAGTGGTCGCAGGCTGTGTTTTCTAGACCTTTCCGCCCACACTCTGCCCTGGGAACCAAGGACACCTTGCTCCCCTCCCCGCTGCAGCCCAGCTCGGGAAACTCGAGCCACCCGGGGCCGCACCCGGCCCTTGCTCGCCGGACAGTGTCTGCGAACTCGCCGTCCGGCTCCCGCTCACTGGGCCGCCCCAGGGCTACTGGGACCCGTGTGAGCTGCTTGATCCGCTCTTTGGATTTTCTGAGAGACAGCGAGCACTTAGCTGTGGAGAACATGCTCCTGTCTCATTTTCTTGTTAAATTTGCCACTCTTGTGGAAAGTGGTGCTACACAGCTAGTCACAGACACGCGTGTGCCCGGGCCCGCAGGCCCCATGTTTACCTGAGTCGGTAGACGTGTCTGTGGACACAGTCAGCGCCACATAACGGCTCCAGGCGGCGACGGGCGTGGGGCCTCTCCCCTCTCCCCGCAGCCCAGGCCTGGGCTCTGGCAGAGCTTGGCGCCGTTGCAGCTCCGTGACTGTCCCTCCACGGCCACGTGGCCCGGCGTGTGTCCTCAGCCCACGCATGGCCGTGCGTGTCTGCACAAGCAGGTCCGGCAGCCCGTGCCGTGGCTGTCAGAGACAGCAGGCGCCTCACGCAGCCGGACCGCCCTGGAGTGGCGCCTGCCCCGGCTCGTGTGTGTGCCCCGACGCGGAGGGCGTCCACGCTGTCCCTGTGTGGCGTGACCGGTGTCACTTTTGCAGAGGCGGCTCAGATCACTGGCCGGAAGGCCTGTGAGCGGATGAAGGACGTGCTCAGACGCGGCGTGGCCCGGCAGGTGGCCGAGGGCATGTTCGAGAGGGCCCAGGAGAGGATGCAGCACCAGTTCCTGCAGCTGAAGGTACTGGCACCCCGTCTGGACGCCGGTCTCGGGGGCCCCGGGAAGTGGGCGCAGAAAGGGGGTGAGGAGTCACTTGGGCGCACCCAGGCTGAGGCCTTCTGCCAGGGGTCCCCAGTGTCCACGGGGTGGGAGGAGCCCAGCGGGCGCCCAGAATCCTTGCGCACACCGCTGGCCACTGCCGGG